GGTAATATGAAGTAAAATACACGTATTTGCCATTTGAAGTAATCGCAACTGCGACGTAATTTTTCTCTGATTCTTCCTTTAAAGTATGAACTTCTAAATGCCATCTATGCACCAGGCATGTGATTTGACTTTGGCTCTGCAAGATTTAAGAGACGAGGGACAGAAAGGAAGAAAGAATGACTAATTTGTTATTCAGTATCCTTCGAATTGTACTTGTTAAGATGTGCAAATAAGTCTGGAAAACTTTTAACAAAGATATTTCTAGGGAAGGAATATAATAAAACATGGATTTATTAACAACATTTTAATTAATTACTGCAACACGTGATGTGAGGAAAACTGAAATTACAGCTCGCCTACCTTCATTTTGTGAAATAATAAGGATAGAACTTACAGCGCCCCTCCGACCAAGAAATCAGAAAATTACTGAGAGCTGACACTCCAGCGTGGCAGATAACCAGTTGAAACCAGCAGTAAATTTTAATTAATTTGAAACGCCACTTGGCTGAAACATTCCTTTCCTAAAACAGCAAACTTTGGAAAAACAGACCTCGCCGGTCCCGTAAATGTACGACAGAATTACCTCATTGCCAACTACACATTTTATCCAAGTTGAGTGCAGCCTTTTTTGTGTAACTCCTGTAATTATAACAAAATCTACTTCATAAAATAATTAAGAACACGTGAAGAATTTTTCAGCTTACCACAAATCCCAATAATTGTAAGAAACATAATTCAATCACTCATAATAATTACACGCAACAGGTCAGTATAACGCTTTGTAGTCTTATGTAATTATTTTAGAGAGTACCTGGAGAGCACCGTGCAAGAAATATGCATCAGAAGTTAAATTACTATGAAGCATAATGTAATAGCAGTAGTTCCCAGTCATGCCACACAACAAATTTAATTACCAGACTCCTTCGCCCTTCTACGCATTTTCTCGGACAACATATCAAACCAAATGATGACCGACACTTCCCCTAGCAATCGTTAAATTTTCAGAAGTAGAATCACCACACAATATAAATTCAAAAAGTCATTTTACTTTATATTACGGACACCGATTTATTTCGCTAATTTCGAAGCAATTACCAAAAATTTCATAATTCATTAATCAATTCTTTTACAGTATAAGATTTAGTTCCAGCTGTGAAGTCTGCAGACAATGTAGTGTCGGACACGAACTAGAAGTGCGCGATGTAATTTGTAACAGTGTAGCGTATGGTCATTATATTACAATGCTGATATATAATGATGGTTTCTAATACCCCCCCCAAGCATGACCTACTACGACGTTCTCAAGCCTCCGTTGACCCCAGGCAAGTATAGAATCCATTTCCGAGGCTGGCCACTCAAACAGCGGATCCTATTACCGACAAAGATCAGGTCATTATAAACTTCATGGTCAACAAGGGAAACCCAGAGTTTAGCATGGGGTCTGACCCACGGTGGACGCCCGGCATACTCGAATTTCTTACGGAATTGTTATTAAATCATGCTTCTTATTACTTCGACTTCTCAGAGCAATATTTGAAAACAAAATTTATAATTTTGTCGATATAAATTCCTAGTCCTTTCCAGCATAACGCATGAATATAATGCATCTCAAATTAATTATAATTTAAATTCTACTATTCACATATTCATTTTTCACTGTGTACCTGACGTTTCAGTCTTGGTATTATATTTTTATGTTGAAAATTAAACAATTTTTTACAGTTATACCCACTACACAAAACTACAAAACTCGTACATTATAAATTCATGCACGCCAACATTTAAGTAAGAACCGCACCCCGATAAACCTTTTCATTTTATCCATTTTATTTTCAGTATTTTCCTCAACTGTTCCTGCGTGCAGTTGCTTGAGCAATTCTCTTGACCAAATGTGTGAGGTGTCATTTAATATTTCATTCGTACGACACGAATGAATTTCAAAATTCCCTTATATATTAACGTGCACAAACTAAATTTCTAATACACATGTACACAAGTTTCTTAATACATAATAGTTTTGAAACTTTCACAAGAAATGTATCATAAAAATTACCACGGCTTTTGAATGTGGAAATGCAGATGGATCTCCAAAATTAACGTAATAAATAAAGCCGATATTATCTAAATATATGTCAAATTCCATTTTATGGCGTCTCTGACGCACGAAACCAGAAACTTGGCACTTCAAACTTCAATACATAACTAAAAAAAAAGTATTACCATAAAGAATATATTCCCAATATTTGTTGTAAAAAATGATACAAATATTTTTTGAAACCAAGTACCATCTCACATTCCTACAAAATTTACAGTAAAAATTGAATAGTTGTCTGAAAGAAGGTTGTAATTTATAGTCACTAAAATGCACGGTATCGATTACCGCACTTTCTACAAATTAGAGAGTATTTCAGGTGAAAATAATTTTGGTGGCTTGTAGCGTACTGAAATCAACGCATCTGAACCCGACAGTAAGTGCCGATACACATTACTCTTTTGTCATTAGGTTCGTATAAATTTTACCTTATAAATTACTCAACGCACGTTAGTACATTTCTTGAAGTACCATCTGCTTACAAGAGGCATTTACACAGAATATACTAAATTTGACATAATTAACAGAATTAACGCCCGCTTAAACCAGAAAAAAAATTCTTTAGTGTCAATCTGAGACAAAGAAGCCTTGTATCACAGACAGGGGTCAGATTTACGTTTGTTATCGGTACTAAATCTGTAAGTTGTTGAGACGGGAGAAAAAAATCAGCGTTACCAAACTTCGCTACTAATACATGAAAGCACCAATTAAATTGTTAACTTGGTAGTCTCATAACATAATGAGATAATTCACTGAAATATACCAAAAAAAAAAAAAATCAATTCTTTAAGAGCAACAAAAGCCAACGGAATATATATACAGAGTTAATTAATGAACTGAAAATGAAAGCCCTAACGAGTCAACAACCCAGCTACCATTATCACTATAAACATGCGCCATCACTTCTCTGGCAGTATAACGCCCTTGAAAGGCAGTGTATTTATTCTGACTATCGAACGCATTTTTCATAATACTAAGAGGCTTTCCGCAGTCTACGCACCGAAAAACATACGACTGCTGGGAGAAATAATTACAAGACCAACGTAACTGAAGTTTCAGTCTTAAGCAACGAGTCCCTGTGACGGTTCTGAAACCCATTACGTTTTGTTTTACAACTTACAATTAACAACATACATAATATAGACTTCGACAAGTCTTCTAGGCACTGATTACAACTGCTCTCACTAGTTTCGACTTCCTTTCTAACTAAATGTCTTAACATTCAATGGAAGTGGTCGTGTATCACAGTATAACTATCTGTTAATTCATACATCCGCGGCATTATCATTTATATCTTCAGGTTTGACTTAAACATGTTCCTAACTATATATATATATATGTGATATATTACGACATATATTCCCTGTTGTAAGGCTAATATATGCCCCCAGTAGTCACAATCAAATTTATATCAAAATTAATCACAGAATACTTTATGACGAAGTACGTCAAACTTCTTCTCCGTCCAACTCGGCGAATTCGCGCGCGACGGCGGTGGCGAACCACAGGCGATCGTAAATGTTTGTCTCGCAGCTGAACTGCGAGATGTGGGCCAGCCAATAAGAGCAGCTGAGACGTTCGCCGTTTATGTACGTCACCATGTAGCCGTGTTTCTCCGCAGAGATGATCACCTTTGTGTGATCCTTGAAGAAGTTTATCTGAAAGTCAATCATACAAACATCCGCCAATCAAACATCAACCAACTAGCCAGTCTAACTCAGCCTTCTTAGTAAAGGGCTTACCCTGAGCAATCAATAAATGCTTACCTGTTCAAAAAATTCCCCATTGAGCCCCATATTTATAACCATCACAACAAAATCAACACCAATGGGCCATATCATTGTCAAACTAATTCAATTCATATTCTTAAAACATTAACTGAACGACTCGTTCAATACTGTCGCCAGTTCCATGGAAAGTTTCTACATGTTTCATGGCCAAAATTTTATGTATATTACTCTACAAACACATGAAAGCACTGTAAATTTTAACATATTTTTATTAGCTTTGCACATCTGATTACAAGATTGTTTAGACTTCACGACCTGCGAACTAATTCTACCTGTGCAATAAAAATCAAGGGCCTAAATTTTTCCAAGTCCAAAAACGGAAAGCGACGTAGGCACGCGGCTGGCATTCTATTCGTTTCAAAATCAGGACACTGGGAAATTACTTCATCTTCATTACCTTCTTGTACGAGTCCAGAATATACAGAGTAGCCAAAAATGTACCTAATTAAACTCAATTTTCCCCACGAGTGATTATAATATGATCATCTGTTTTAGTTCGCTTTTGTGGATACCAAAAATGGCAGCCTGCAACACCGAGAAGCAGATATTTGTTAACAAAGAGTATATTTTATCATCTGAAAGCCCAGAAAATGTCAGAAGAGCATTCCAATTAAAATTTGGCATCAAACGTACACAATTTCAAACTTCATAAGAAATCTCGAAAGAAAGGATACAAAGTATGATGTCAAACTACGGGACGAGACCTCAAAAGATTGTCGAAGTGAACACGTAATAATATAAATTCCTTGAGATGCTGATTTGAATGGCATTTGATTCAGATTCTTATGCGTCACTGTTCAAATAAAATAAAATATTAAATGGTAAGTACATTTTTGGCAGCCCGGTAAATGCACAGCATTCAAACCTCCCTATTTACCCTAAAAAAAAAAAAATCCAACCACCGAATGAACCGCTGGCTAGTGCCGTCCAACGATCAACATACCTGCAAGGTTCCATTGCACAGTTCCATGATGATGGCAGTGTTAGTACGAACCCAGCGCTTCATATGAGGTACAGTTGATTTATGTCTATTGGCTGCAGCTACTTGAGACTGATGTTTTATGTCGCCCCCCTCCGTTAAATGTTCGTCCATGTATTCAGTGAAGTACTGCAGTAACGCTAGCCGCTCGTGAAGTGGCGCAGGTACGGAGTTGTGCGGATGGGCAGTCACCTTCCCGTGCATATCGTGAAATTCCACCCGACTGTGAACGTACGTTTACTCTTACAGATTACATTAAAACTTCAGTCAGGTTTGACAACTTCCTTGACATAAATTTCAGTATTTTATGATGTTCATTGCTAAGAAGTACGGAATACCAGCAAACGTATTTAATTCAAAGGTAACAAGACGTCGGATTTTTCTTCTCACACTTTACTTTGCGAGTCATGCTGTAACTCACGACTGTGTTAAGATGGGTACGAGAACTCGGAGTAGTTGTGCTGAATATAAAATAATTTCGTTTCGACAACAACAAATTGGCATTCAAGGTATAACAAGATATATACCTAAGCCTTTCAACAAATACCAAAGAATTTCAGTCTTTATGGGATATATCGTATATCATCCACATAACGATATCACATTTATCTCCAAAGCTTCGGTCCTTAAGATTTTCATACGCAGAGATTTTACTGTACAATCCCTATTGTCTGAGCTTCGATTATTTGACAATATGTCGTATCGGACGTGCCGTGCAAATACCCATCACAATTCTTTTTTAAATAGACTTTCATTTACAAATTTATATTTTATTAAATATCATTTCTGATCATGGGAATATTTCTTATTTGACGCCATATTATATTTTATTCGTAGGTTAACAATATTTTAAACTTAATTGATATATACCCTCAGCCTTCCATTAGTAAATCTCATTTCTCTCTTCTTTAGAATCTTAAAATATCATCTTCCACGGTTTACTTGGGCTGAAATGTTACTCCAAGACTTAAATTAATTTGTTTTTAACTTTTAGTACTCACTTGCGGTCGGGTGTAAAGCTCATACGAGTAGTATCATTAAACAGGACGCCGACCGACTTGTCGGACAGCTGGAATCCAAACCCATACTTATTTGAATAATCTATCCACTTGGATACAAACAGCGGTGATACCGAAGAAACCCGCGGGGGATTTCCAGATGGGTCGGACCCTGGAAACAGAAGATAACACCAAATTATGCAATGCTGCACAAGAAAAACATCAATCTTTCAGTTTAAAAATAATATTTATCGACGCAGGCCTCCATATTTTTCTTGGCAACTCATCCATTACAAATGAAAAATTGTTGATAAAGACTGGAAAATTACTGTATAGCACCGAGCCTTTCGAAACAGTTTATAAATGTTTAGACGATCGAGATGTTTCTCGTTTTGGAATCCAAAACTTCATTATCGTCATCACAAAAGCTAACCATCGATTCTTATCCATCACATACATGGTAATGGTAAAAATATGGTCCATGCAGCCACGGAGATAAATACAGAAGACATTTCTCAGTCGTAAGATGCCGTTACATATTTATTAGATTTCCTGATGTTTGTAGCTTAGATGCGTCATGTTTGTGTTGAACTAAGTATGTATTTATTATTCCAGTCTATACACAAACTTAATTTTAACAACAACATTTTAAATTAAGTTTGTGTATAGACTGGAATAATAAATACATACTTCCTGATGTTTGTCAGTAAAAATGGAATTTTTGACTTCGTTAAATTGATCCATCACTGTAGATACTTATATTTTTTACACTATTGTTTTTATTATACTGAATATCAAAATAATAAAATTAAATGTACCTACCTATATACTGAAATAAATTTCTTTAAATTTAATATTTCTTACAATTACATTTGAAAACAATCATATTGATACAACTTACACTGCGTCATAACAGGCTTAGAGATACGACACTCACCAGATGGTTTCGCAGGGGGCATCTTATTAAAGCAATCCGACAGAAACCGATACAACGTCACAGCATTATTTGGTCTCTTGCGACATAATGTCATTTTATCAGGACATAACACGCTGCTCAGCTTCTGTTTCAGAGAGCTTTGACGTGCGTCTCTGTCTTTGCGTATGGAAGCTATAATGCTCCCAGCACTTGGACTACTGCAGGCTGCCTTATCTTTTGGGGAGAACTGAAATCAAAAACGCCACCACGATCCTCTAATAAGGTTCATTATTAAGAATACTGTTGGGTCTATGGTTGAAACATGCATTTTCTATATTCGTTGATTACTTTAACAATTTAAGATTTGAGGATTTCTGTCTTCTGCGTTGTTGCGCTGCGTAGTCTGGCCGATGTTAACCAACGTTTCAGAGGTCATACTGCCTCCGTCATCAGGGCGATGAATATTCCAATTGGGAGTGTGGGGCTAGGTTTATAGGAGCCGGACCGTGCCTGCCCCGAGCCAATGGGAGCGGGCGTGTGTGTGGACCAATAGGAGCGCGTGGACGAGTGTGAGAGAGAAGGAGAGAGGAAAGAGAGAGAAGGGTCTGAAACGTTGGTTAACATCGACCAGACTACGCAGCGCAACAACCCAGAAGACAGAAATATTAATGTTAAAATACTTTCTATTAATTTAATTAACTTTAATTTAAAGATGGTATTAATCATAATTTCTATCGGTATGTCGTGTAAGCAGCCTAACTGGTTCAGACGGTTACGCGGATATTTATTTATTTCTTTGTACCTACCTTGGCTATGGTATTTGGACTTTTCTGCGTAGGAATTTTTAATGTAGATACAGAGTTTGTCAGAGATTTCAGATCTTGACTCAAAATTGGAGCTTGGCATATGATCTGAGACTGTGGCTGTGGCGGCCTACAAACAATTACAAAACATCGTCTAAATCCGATGAAATAATTGCTAGATCAGCCACCCAAGAAATACATTTTCATCGACCCCTACACAAATTTGTGCTATTAAACAGTAATACGACTCGAGACAAACTTACCTCGAAAGCAAGGCAACAGATGCAAATTTCGGCATTGTGTAGCAACACGACGGAGAGAGAGACTCGGGCATGTAACCACTAGTGAAAAACTCGTGTTTGCAAATTTCATCCAATTTAGGTCGATCCTCAGGTTTTGGCTGCAAAAGCTCGCAGATCAAAGATCTCGCGGGTTCTGACGCCAGAGGCGGGAGGGCGTACTTATTGCCTACGATACGGGCGTACGTTTCCTTCAGCGTCGCAGTCTCAAAAGGAGGTTGTCCAACCAACATCGCATACCTAGTAAAGAAACAGACAATTTTCGATATCCTAAAGGAAGACGAATTTATATTTTAAATAAATATCTATATTCTAAAGCCAATGTTTCCAGCAGACAACATATTTTTTTACAAATGTAAAATAAAATATCAACTTAACATTCTCCTACATTTAACATAAAGTTTTTTGTGGTTTTATGTTTCGTAGTGCGTGCGTGTGAAACTTTAAAATACGTAAAAAAAATTTCCACATTCAATTCGCACTACAAACCAGTTAGGTTTTGTATGTTAATGGTCTCGCGTCAAACTACAACTGTTCTGTTTATTAAACGTGACATTACGGGTTTCTAAACAAATTAACACTCAAAACATAAATACAAATTAACCTACAAGAGTACATTCAGCTGACCAACTTCGGCAAGAGACTTCGTATGTTACTTTCAAATTATCGTAACAATGTAAACAGCAGTAATCCTCCTGAAAATTTCTGAAACATAAAACCTTTTCTATGACCGCCACGCTGGCCTTATAATCCTGGGGTCTCGGGTTCAATTCCCGGCGGTGCCCGAATTTATAACTTGTGTTGGGCAAGGCCGTGGTCTAGGCAACACGGAGTTTTCCTCCGTGGCATCCCAACAATTACTCCATTCACACACAAAAGAAGGCAATGGCAAACCACTTCTCGATCATCTGCCAAGAACGTATATGAACAGGGCCCAGTCCGAGAAAAATGGGCGAGGCCGTGGTCTAGGCAACACGGAGGTTTTCTCCGTGGCATCCCAACAATTACTGCATTCACACACAGAAGAAGGCAATGGCAAACCACTTCTGGATCATCTGCCAAGAACGTATATGAACAGGTCCCAGTCCGAGAAAAGGATGGAAGGATCCTGTTCGTAATGTCGCCAACCTCCTGTAAAGGGGACGGCGTATTCTGGACTGTCTTCCAAGTGATTCTGTGAAGCCGGGGTTCTCGACCTTTCCAGACGCGGAGCCTCATTCATCGATTACTGGCCGAAAGGCCGCGACGTTTTCTTTTTGAAACCCCGGGTAAAATACTGAAAACGCCAACTATTTCAAGCAGATCCACATATTTTTTCCTCATTAAATTAAAAATTCTTTATAAAAATTGGTTTAAGACATATTTACCACTGCTTTTGCTCAAGAAATCTTTCAGTATTAGGTTTTAATTTCTGTTGTGATTCATAAACATCCTTCCACGTGACCATCAGTAAGACTAGTTCTAGTGCACGATTTCATCGATAAGTCGAACAATTGCTCGGAGCAAAGGGAACTGCAACGTACTGACGACAGAAATAAAACATGTTTTTCGTCATACACGTGACAGGGTATTATTAAATATACGAAATTCCAAGATACTGCTGTACCCAAGTCTTCAGATGATATAATTTAATTATACCGACAGATTTATTATTTTTATTTTAAGATTAAGTTCGTGACCTTTTGAACACTTATCTTTAGACCACTGAGGAAGTGTTTAAATAATTTCAAGGAATTAACTGGAGTTCCAGTTAAACCCATACTCCATACTTACATAATGCAACCGATCGCCCATACATCGGCTTCGTAACTGTAGCTCAATTTATTCAACACTTCTGGTGCTATATAATTTGGAGTTCCACAGATTGTCCTAAAAAAGCATAATAAAACATTAAGAGTGGCATAAGAAACATCGTGGAAATGTTAGATTTTAAAACAAAGATCAAAAGTACTTTCATACAGAAAATAAATCAAAAGTTTTTATTTCTTCAGATACCAGTGTCGCCTCCAACAGATCGATCTCAAAATACGAAGCCACGAATTCGTAAAATAACCTGAAATTTTTATTCTCTTCGATATAAATCGAATTAAAATACTCAAAGTCGATAATAAAAGAAATGAGTTTAGAAAATGACTGTTCTAGGTTAAATCCAAAAAAAAAAATAACTCAAAAGTTTTTCTTTCTTCAGACACCAGTGCCGCCTCCAACAGATCGATCTCAAAATACGAAGCCACGAATTCGTAAAATAACCTGAAATTTTTATTCTCTTCGATATAAATCGAATTAAAATTCTCAAAGTCGATAATAAAAGAAATGAGTTTAGAAAATGACTGTTCTAGGTTAAATAAAAAAAAAAAACCACTTACACTCGTTTGTCACCGTCCACCTGCGTCGCCAGACCAAAGTCACCAATTTTGACGACCATGTCCTCACCAAGGAACATGTTACCTGGTTTGAGATCACGATGTATCACGTGTTGACTGTGAATGTAGCTTACGCCTGCTACAAGCTGACACAGGTAATATCGAACTTCAGGCTCTGTTATGACATTTCTGTGCTTCAGAACATGTACTAATGACTGAAAGCAGACAAACTGAATTAATTTTTAAATTTACTTAAAAGTTATCACTCACAACTGACGAGACAGAAGCTGGTAAGAATATGTGCCCAATCAAACATAACCTATACACAACTAAATTATATTAGTAGGGATTGTTACTTCTGTTCCAATAATTTCCCCCCCTCCCCCAAAAATTCGATCTAAAATATGTTCTACCACCAATAGTTTCTTCTACAATGACAGAGAATTCAACATAAACTAACCTTTCTTGAGCAGTTTTCAAGAATTATATACGCATTTACAGTGTCTTCGAAGAAGTGATGAAGTCTCACAACATTCCTGTGCACAAGATTTTGGTGTATTAGTATCTCACGTGCAATCTGAAATTAAAACAAAACTATACTTAGTTCATTCACAATATATGATATTTATGCGTATAAAAATCCTCGGCACATAAAATGTTTCTACAATTAATTCTGAAGTAGCAGATTTAACTGACGCATTGATTAATGCTTTGGCTGATTATTGCATCATCCACGTTACAATATTACGTTCTGCAATATAATCTGTACACTACAAAACTTTTGAATGTAATTAGGTAACGAATACGTATAATTAGTCCTTAATATCTGATTACCTCTCTTTGCAGACAGAATGTGGATCATATGTTCTTAACATAACCTCTCTTCATTAAAAAACAAAAAAACAAACGAGAGCTAGAATATCAACACTAATTTAATCTCGATTTATTGCAAACTTGTTTGGGAAAATTACTATACAAAAATGTTCGTAGATTTCTACTATTATACTGTAAACATCTTCTATTTGCCCCATATTCCACATTTTTGAATCACATTTTTATTCTTATTTGAACAAACCTTACCAACATACGAAAAAGATCTTATGTTGGTAATATGATAGAGACAAGGACATTCTGAAATAAGGGATCACGGAGGGTAGCAATCACCCCTCCAGAAAAGCCTTATCCAGACATATATAATACCCCTGACAAAGCCCCCCAGATGTGGAAGATATACCACGGCTGCATGTAGCAAGGAATCTCTGCTACAGAACTTATGTTATTTAATACCGTCATGACATCATACACAACAATGCGTCACTGAACAGTTTCTTGTCCCGTCCCAGGTAACGAGGCAACGTTTGCTATTTTGAGAACTTGGGGGGGGGGGGGGTGTAGAAGGGACATACTACGCTACCGACTGGAAAATCGCCAATCCTAATAAAATCCAAACTGCTGTGGAATCCCATGAAATGTATGCCGACACAGAAGGGGCACAGAGCTCGCTGCCAGCGTCTTTAAAATCGACTGCGGTTTCAAAAATATAAAAAAGAAACAATAAAAACAGAAAAGAAAAGGGTATAAGAAACTCTAAGAGCGGTAATTACTTCTGGAATAACATACGTGCCTAACCAACAAAACTATGACCAGCTGTTTGAACAAAGCACAGTTCATGTTACTCCACTGGATACAAACTTGCAAACGCCTGAATTCTGAGCAGTTGGCCATACTTTACACTTCTGTGTATTCGTTACACGAAACGCGTAATAAAATGGACGTTTGATAGGTTAGGATATCTGTCCGCCCACATGTTTACACCTACGAATATACTTGTTAGGTTCGATTAAAGTCTGGCGTAAATCTCTAATCGAAAAGTATCGATATACTGAAAACATGGCTTCAAGCACAAAAGACCTTGAATGAAACAAAACACAGGTACGATGAACGACAATCTCTATACCTACGACAGCTCGTCTATTGCCCTACTGTGCATTCTTTACAACGCTATATATTAACAAAGTACTTCTTTACACAAGGGGTTCGTTGCCCGGGAGATAACGCGATATCGAACGAGAACCTCGATAGTGATGTGGCAACCACACATTGATACGAACAACCCTGGTCACTAAAGTACGACGTTCGATGTCTTTTTCGTGGAATATTTTTCTTCAACACACCTGCCCTCTTCCCTGGTCATAGGCTGAATGATGTTAGCTCGTCTATTGTTTACCTTTCTCCCAGAATTTAACAGGGGCTGCGGCCGGGGAAGAACTGCCAACTTCTGAACTTAAAACTAATGACATGCTCACATCGTATCGTACCAATACACAAACGATGCAGAAAATCCTATTTATAATTCAATCCAAAGGGACCTAGAAATGTTTCGTTTCTAACAGGATTTTGTTTCATACAAATTACGATACAAGGCCCCTGTATATATATATAGCCAATCACTCATTGTGAACTCTCCTACGTAATTTCAAACGGGATTCACAGTTAACACGCCGATACAAATGTATTATTTAGCATTATAATCGTGTCCGATATAGCGCCGTGTCGTTTTGTATACACCGACTACAGACAAGGTATAATAAGTTGAACAAATACTGCAAAACAGAATTTCTATACAAACAAACGAAACCTACACAGGTAATAAATCACAAACAGCTGCCAGGAGAGGGCCCTGAGATTTTATTTGGGGTCAGGGGTGTATATGACGTCATTCCAAACACAGACATCTAGTAAATAAACCTATTACAGGGCAGGGTATTGATTTTAAAACGTAAACATTACACAGAATAAGCTGTTACTGTTTCCTATTGATTTAACTTTGTTCTGCAGTCCTATCTAGGCTCTTGGAATTTACCGGAGGAACACCAACATGGCCAACACTCGCAAATGTAAATACCCAGCTTGAATCCCGACCAGCTAGCCTGAAATTTATAACGTCCCCCCCCCCCCCATCGTTTAACGATAATTTCCAGAGAATTTGACAACAACAAAGTTCTTGTAACAAATTTACTTGGTTTCCACAACAAACTCCATATTTAAGACTGGCAACACATCTGGATCTCTGTACACAGTTCATAAGTTCACAGAGAAATGTTATCTTTCACGACCTTACAAAAAAAACTGATATCGATGTTTCTCGCGTCAGCTGGTCTTCGAGAGGTTAACGGCGTACAGTAACTGAAAAGTTTACTCACCCCTGCCGTGTCACACAGCCTGGCTTCGAGGTACTTAGAAAATATGCTTAGTCACTTCCTTCCCTGCATAGATCCCATTTTCTCCACACAGAATGGTCTCCGTACAATGAGAATGTTACGTTTCGTGTCCCTGATGTCGAGTTACTGGGTAACATGATCATTCTTCACGAAATATACGACTTGCTTATATTTATTTTCAGAAAAGAACTTTAATCTGGACTGATTCATTGTGCAGGTGGACAGAGTTATGTTGCGTTCGACACGTGAGTTGGCCACACAGTGACGACATTGCCTTCCGTCAGCAGTTCTACACCAAGTTCTGAGAGGCTTCTAGCAGATGTTATAAGCGTTACCACTTAACAATCATAAACCCAGAGATCAGAAAACCAAATCTAATCGTCTATTTCCTTCCATATTCATATTTCTACATTATTTCGTGTATATTTTTCCTTTCTGCATTACTCCAATGTAAACAACGAAAGAAATACGATATTTTTACGAGTATCATCATCTATGCTTCTGGTTACATCATTATAAACCCATCTGTCATCTTAGCGATGTAAAGTGTTAAGCAGCTTCCATTACAAAAAAATATGAATACGCTAAAACCAAAAATTTTCAAAATCTATAACAAACCTCTCAAATCCTACGCAGAAAGATTTTGATGATTTAATGCAATTCAGATGTGACACAGACAGTGTCATTTATACAGACACTTTTAAAACGCAGGCTGTAGACATAATTTTAACGTAAATAATCACTGTTTTACAACCTTGGCCCTTGTATAGATTACACCTGACTCCAGTGGGAATGAACTATCAAACTTATTTGCTCCGTCAAGCACTTATTTCCATATAATATCCACACACACGTGTATCCACACATTGCACAATCGAATTAAGAAATCCGCTTCCAAATGCCTCACGTCAACTAGTGAAATGTCTCGACGAACCTCTCAATCAACGTACTTTTAAGAGTACAGGATCTGCCTGCATATGACGAACTATTACAAGCAGGTTTAAACAAAATAATTCACAGTAAGAGAGGAATTATTATTCATAGAACGATATAATGAACCGATGTTTTCTTAACAGTCAGTACAACGCCGACACGCGTAAGCCGGACAGAATGAGTGGCAACTACGAAGGCAAATATAACTTGTGCGCATATCTAAGCTCGTTTCAATGTCCTGTCACGGCACAGCCGCCAAATAATCCTCTTTTTTTTTTAAGACAAACGTCAGCGGAAGTTAAGACAACAGCTTGTAGATATTAAAATAAAAATAGCGAAGATTTTTTGAGTGTAGCCACCAAATGAAATATAAATTTACGTGAAAACAAAACAGACTCAGCGTTCCAAATAAAAATCATAACTATAACGAACCGTTAAACGAATTGCTATTGCAATTAAGAAATTTTGACGTTGCAGAAGTTTTTTAAAAAAAAATTAAAATACATTTATAATAAAATATAGTCACCACACTGGAATATCATAAACATCAATACAGAATAAAATAAGTGACTCCCCTGAGATGATATTCTTATGTGCAATTAAGACATATACGCCATTTTCTAAAGTCAACTCAACCTATTAGAGCCACATAAAACTTGTTGGGTGAGCCAAGCCACTATTAGAAATGTGTTGATGAACCAGCCATCTCGTAGCGCATTTAATATTTCATCTCTATTTTAAACATTATTTCCAGGACCATACAAGCTTTAACGCATGGACAAAACATTTCCTTTTGTAGTTAAAACGACCTGATCTGACATCTAAACATTTCTATTCCACTGCAAAAAGATATCGGGATACGAACTCGGTGTAAGCAGAAAAGGTGACAAACACTGTAGCTTTACCTTTGTTTTAATACGTACGTGTGAGTATGTTAAAATTTACGAAATATCAATGATAAAAATCAATGTTCTTTTTTGTCATATTATGTGACTTGCTAATAAGCTGGGACACGGTGTGAAAAATACTGCCCTAAATTATACAACTCTGCTGACCAAAAAATGTGTTGTCTTTCTCCGTGTGAACGAACTTATGACGCATAACAGACGATCAACACAGCTGAAGGGTAATGTTAAAGGAACTGCTCTTACAGCGAAGGTCATCTCATACAACCATCACGTTACGAGCTATATTGACAGCAATAAAGAAATAACTGTACTCGGAAGCCTGCTATTTGTAGTGGCAGCTCTTGTCTATTTGTTTACAAAGACACGGCGCGACGAAGCGTAAAATACTTCGAAAGCCCAACAGCGCGTACTGTTGTTGTTATTATTATTATTATTATTATTATTGTTATTACTATTCTTGCAATTATTTAAACACGTTATAGTTCCTCTCGGTAAACGGAATTAAAACATACACG